TAATATGAGGCTATAATCAAATGCTTAGGCGTTGCGAGTCCGACTCAAAATTCCAACGTACCGCGATCGAAACCCACTGCTTGCTGCGTGCATTTTCATCATGGTGTAGCGCAGGGCGTCGCAGGTCGACCCAGCCTAAAATGGGTACCAGGATGTAAGTCATAGGAAAGAAAAGACGGCCGGTGTAATACTGACCACGTTACCCACTTAGTGCCGATTGGTATGTAAAAATTTAGGGTGCTCTTTCCATATGCCCGATGCGCCCAAGGCGTAAAAAGGGAACTTTTTATAATCTAATACTTAGTGAGTATTCTTCTTCTGCTTTTTATCCCTGAATGGAGAGATGGCCCTTAACCAATTCTAAACAGCGACCTCCAGTTCCCTTCTCTATACGTGTTTGGTCTGCCTTCATTTATATGCCCTTATGGGCTCTACGCAGAGCGTCCGTGGCGTAGAGGCTCGATTGTGGATCGGTAGGTTATGAGTTCGTGTACTGTCTGACCTTTTTTAAAAAACAACTTTGGCTCCAATGTCAACCCAACATTCAGTGGGTACCAATTATAGTCATGGGAAGGGAATGCGGCTGGCGTCTTGTTGACGCATTACCCACCGGGTGCCGAGGGGTCTATAAAATACAGGTCTAGCCCAATATGCATAAAGCGTGAAATAGAGTCTTTATTTTTTAACTGTATGCGTGCGACCTACTGTAAAGCCAATGAATTCCACACAGTCTATTGATCTATTAGCATGAAACATAATATTCAGTTCGATTAATGAGGGGAGACTAAGCTTTTTGCTCAACATAAGCAGCAGCAAGGAGATAACAATTAGAATTGTGAGAGCATGCATCTTCCCTGTAGCAACATACGTATGTGAGTCGTGGACTATCTTCCAGTCCTTAAGAAAGAAAATAGGGGCTTTAAGCTTAAATGCTATAGAAAAAGAGAATAAATAATGACATCTTGAAAGATCTGAACATCAAGGAAGATTGGCTAAAAACAGCATCCTGTCTCGGAAGCTGAAATATTTTGGTAATATCAAGCGCCACGATGGATTGGAAAAAATTGTAGCAGAAAGCATCGTACCAGGAAGGAGGGCAGGGGCCGACCGACACGAAGATGGGCACATGTTTAAGTGACTCCTTGAGTATGAAAGTACATGAGGCGGAAGAACTGGCGAGAAACCGAGTTTCTTTCAGGCAGGCATACCGTGATGAGAGCGACGTTCTGCAAAGGACCTGCAACATGATGATGAACCTATATGTCTCTCATCACCCTGCCCACAGGGCTAGCAGCTGAAAGACTGACCATCCTTGAGACTACAAGAATCTTATTCCGGGTGACAAACCAGTAGGGACGACTATACCAAGCAAGCACCAGAAGGTGGCACGGATGGCGATGCACAACAAAAGCATCACAAACACAAGGGGAGAGGCCTCAATCCCTTACAAATGATCTGGCATGAGAGGCGTTATTCCTTGTTTAAATGACTAATAATAATAAAAATAATAGTGTGCTAAACTAAAAATAAATCTAATAATAATATTAGGGGTGGTAGGTTAGGTTAGCCCCTTTACAAAATTCAGACCTCCCCCACCCTTTTGAGGTCGAGTTGGGAGGGTGGAGGTGTCAAGGTGCCTTAACTAACCCCCCACCCCCCCCCCCACCCTATTTCTGGCCTTCCTAGGCATGAGTTTAGCGAAATCTTCGAGGAGAAAAGATGTGCCAGCCGAGGATACTGTAACATATCCCGAAAATCAAGATTTACTATGAAATATCACTGGCCTGGAGAGAATTAGGAACAAAGCTAACTTTCCCATTCATAATGTCATGACCTAACTAGCAGAAGCCCCCATCCCCCCCCCCCCCCACCCCCCCCCGACCCGACTTCCTTTTTTTTTTTTTTTACATTTATCGCAAAAACAAACATTTTCTGATATGCTATTATTTCATTGGAACCTTATACCAGATCTTTTGAAATATTCTCAAAGATTAATTACATGATATAATTATCATAAGTATTTTAAAATTTTAATTGTAATATACAAAATGTAAAAATCTTTATGTATATCTGTTACAATTAATGCAAAAGTTATACAATATTAAACAACCGAAATTAATTGGGGACCAAATTAAGAATCCAATATCGAAGAAACAAAAACTAGGTATCATTTTTATAATTCATACGTGTTGAATAGCTTAGAGTTGTTTAAAATTATACTAATGCTGGGCTGGTTATTATTGTTGTTGTTGTTGTCTATCATTATAAGTATAAATATTTTAACAAGTCAAGACTTGGAGGACACTATACGGTCAACAAATTGTTTCAGTATTTGTATATTACATTTGTCATATTTATTTTATGTTAACCACAACTAATACATTTCCACACAGAAGCTTGAGTGATGTATTTTCATTGTACGACCTATCTTACACATGGACACCTCTCATTGGTTTCCTGGCTACGGTCATCTCCGGATTACTAGCTAGCATGATCAATGGTAAAACATATTTGATTTTGCTTAATGTATTAATTCTCTGCTTAGGGCAATCACAATGTGTACTTTTCACTGGTAGAAGTAATAAACTGCTGCACGTCGATTAGTCTTAAAACTTTACATAAATTATTGATGTAATTATGTTGTTCAGCATCTACGTACCAAGGCTCTCATCCGATGTCTCTTTAAAACCTGACACTGAAAGGCAATATACTAGAGAAGGGGGAGGAGGAGGAGAGGAGATTCTTGTTGTTGTTGTTGCTGTTGTTGTCGTTAATATTAATATTATTAATATCATTTTTTTTCTTCTCCTCTTCCTTTTCCTTTCTTCTTCTTCTCTCCATCATTTCCTCTTTTTTCTTCTGGTGTGTCTCCACATTATAGTACGATTATAACGCAAGCAGCACAAAAAATGACATTTACTGTTACTACTACGGCGGCCCTGCTGCTGCTGAGGCTGTTACTACTACTGCTGCTACTGCTGCAACAACAAAAACAACAACTACCACTACTACTACTGCTACTACTACTTCTGTTACTACTTTCACACAAACACACAACTATATATGTAAAGTAAGTTTATATGTAAATACCTGCATGCATGACTAACAGTATGTTTTTCAAATTTGTTTTTTATAAACAGGTCATTTCTACCGTTCAAAGAAGCCCTCAGATCCTCGTTTGTTCTTCCCGTTTGTTCGAGGGATGATCAAATTTGAAACTGATAATAAAGACATGGGAACTCTGGCTGATTTCGCAAATAATCAAGATATCAAGAACTAGGAATCATTAAAATTAGTTTGTTAATTTCTTTCTTATTCTGTCGCCGTCTATGGCTTATGCTTTGTAATTTCGAGGTGCCCTGTTCGACTCTAGCTGAATGGAATTTGACAGCGACAATCTTTCGTTGATTTCAACATGGAGATCGAGAGTCGATCGCTTAGAACAATGGCAAACTACTAAAGGTAAAGCAAGATAGCAAAACCTAAACATTCAACATGCAACGTTCTGTAAAAGAAACTCAACTTACCCTCCCCCCCCCCCCCTTTTTTTTCTCAGAGGCCAGTTTGGAGTTGATGATAGTGAATCATCACGTATGAACGAGTTGACCCTCAGTAAAGCTCAGTATGAGACCGGCAACTTGACCACGGAATAAACTTGGTCGAGTTAACTGGCTAAGCCCAAGGTCACACGGTTAACACGTGTCGAGAGATGAACGGCTGGTGAACGAAAAAGCTTGGATAGAGCTCGGCTGGGGGAGAGTCGTGTAGTGGACATTGGACTGGACGAGACGTAGCGCTGTGACTAGGTAAAACGTATCTTAGTTTAGTGACAGTTAGATTGAATATAGTTTGTGGTTAGCATTTTTGGGATAGGCTGTGTTTCCATTTAATGTTTCGACGAGATCGTGTAGAGTTAATGTTCCTTGTATAGTAGACGTTCCACACAGTGTTTGTTAAGCAGCTAGTGAATGTGTGACACGCATTGTTAATGGCGGTAACACTGCCCAGTCACACTTAGGCCATACACCCTACGTGTGTCACTGAGTCCCGAGTGGCAATAGACGGCGACTCAGTCAGCACTGATAAACTGTTAGTTTGGAATCGTGTCCTTGAGGATCTATGAGAACGGCTCGGGTTGACCAGTGAATGTAAAAGCTGCTCAACGCCGACGTTCAGAATAAGTACTGCCAGTTTAGTTGAAGTGTTACTAGTTGTATTGTTCGTTGTACATTAAAGATTATGTTTTTACTTAGCAGGTGCGTGTCTTAAGTGTGTCTAGGGTAGAGAAATCTGTTAGCTGGCCTACGTAGCGAGACATAGAAAATGAATATAGTAAATTAGGTCACTGACACAACGTTCTGTAAAAGAAACTCAACTTACCCCCCTCCCCCGCTTCCTCCCCCCCCCCCCACCTCTTTCTCAAATGCTCTCTCTTTAATTTTCTTGTGCTTGATTTCTATGTTTCTTACCTTCCTGGCCCTCCTCTCTCTCTCTCTCTCTCTCTCTCTCTCTCTCTCTCTCTCTCTCTCTCTCTCTTTTAGCTCTCGCTTTCGATTTGTCCTCCTTCCAGGGTGGTAAGAAAGAGAGCAAGCAGTACAGGAGTACTAAGAACTACAACAAAAATACTAAGACCAGATGGAGCTTAGAGAACAAAAAGTAGAGCAGAGAGACGACGAGTAGGAAAAAAGGGGAAGCAGGAGAAAAAGGGGTAGTATGAAGAAAGGTAGGAGTAAGAAATTAGGTTAAGGAACCCAGCGAAAAACAAAGAAATAATAAAAGGAGCAAACAGAAAAAAAAAATCGGAAGAACCAGAGGAAAAAGAGAAGTAGAAGAACCAGAAAATAAATAAGAACAATGAGAAAGGAGAGGCATTGAAAAATAGACAAAAAGAAAGGGGCAAGCGAAAAAAGAAGAGCTGTTAGAAAAACAAAATAGGAGCCTGAAGGGGTGGGAGAACTGGCAACCCTGCTTATGTTACAGTGATGAGAAAAAAAAAAACATAAGGCTCTCACTTCCCTGCTGGATCGGCCTAATCCGGACTGTTACCCAGAGGTTAATTAATTATTCAAACAACAAAAGCCAGATTATCTTACGCTAAAACATACAGAGATATCAACATTACTGGACTGTTCTATCCCAAACAGATTAATATATCAACAAATCCAGAACTGCTGTACACTGAAACAGTTTAATGCATCAACACATATTTCACTATTCTACGAAAACGACTTTCTGAAAATGATGAGAATGTGGTGCGAAAATCTCTAGATTTAAAAAAAAAATTCTTGAGTAACAAGTTTAAAATACTTGCTAGAGATACCAAGGAGAGAATTTTGAAAACATTTTATTAAAGACGTAGCCGGGAAGAAAACCCTTACATACATTTTGGAAGTACACTGATAATTGAATAGAAACGTACCATTCGTCAAATGCCAAACTTCTAGGATCAGATGGTAGAATACTAACAAGTGGGGGCTGAGTGGTTTTGAGGAATGGTGTCCACCTCGAGTGCAGGAGGTCGCGGGTTCAAGCTCCCGGTGACGGCTGGCATGTTTTCACCTAAACTTCTAGTAATTTCCCCCTGGTCTCTGGGTAGTAAGATTGGATATCTCTGTGTATTGTTGCACACGTAAACAATTCCTTGGCATTTGGAAATCGAAAAAGAGTAGCCTTACTGCTCTGCCCGGGAAAAATTTAGAGTTAAAAATCTACACATATCCTCGCAGGTTAACGAGTTCACGCACTGCGCTGAGATTCTTTTTACTCAGGCTTGAGTTAGAAGTAGAACGGAGCATTTATGGGTTATTACCCTGTGCCATGATGTTGATCTAGGGTTTAAACCCGAACCTAAAAATACTAACAAGTGACATGGACAAGACACAAACTTTTTTTTTAGTTGTTATGGAATCCAGACTGATATAAATGATAGGACGGTACATTTCTAATGACCTGTTGAAATCTATATTTATTGCTCTGCCAAAGAAACCAGGCACTCTAAAATGTAAAGACTATACCACCATCAGTCTCGTGAGCCATGTGACAAAAATGTTACTGAGAATAATTATTAGAATAATAAGAAACAATATTAAACCAGAAATTAGTGAAGAACAGTGTGGATGTGTAATATGAAAATGTACAGACAATGCTATATACATCCTCACGACTTTCAGAAAGAGCTATGCAAGTAAAACAAAATAATGTTTACTTAAGCGTGTGACTGTGTGAAACATGAAAAAAAAAAATAATCAAACTACTAGTAAGGTTAAACATTGATGTAAAAGATTTACGAATTATACAGCTAAGAAGGGCTACCCATATGTTCTAAAAGAGGCGAGTGCCCGAAGACAACATATCACTAAGATCAAAAGAGACGGTCGTCAATTTTGATCATGTTATGAGAAGTGGAACATGCTGTGACCACTGGAAGGATTTGTGGAAAGAGAGAAAGTAGAAGTCAGAGCGAAAAGATTCTTGACAACTTTCTGTCATGGCATAAAGGGGAGCCATCAGCACACGAACTGATTGATACACGCAGTTGCAGATCATAAATTGTGGAGAGGCATGATCGCTCACACCAGTCGAGGAAGCTGTGTGTGAATATATATATATATATATATATATATATATATATATATATATATATATATATATATATATGTATATATAGATGTATCCGGCCACCTAGATGTACCCGGCCACGCGTTGCTGTGGCCCAGAATGATGAAATGGAGAGGAATGAAAATAGCTCTCAGCTAACAGTGTCTGTCATATCCCCACCACCTCGTCTTCCCTCGACCCAGTCATATCTCCCTCTTCGTAGGAATGAAAAATCATCATCTGGCGATATTATTAAAATAGAAATAGTTAAGAAAAGAGAACATTTTGATAATTTTTAAGCTCTCTCAGCTAACTGTGTCTGGCATAATATCCCCCCCCCCCCGCTTCCCCAGTCATATCTCCCTCTCCGTAGGATTGAAAAATCATCACCTGACGAAATCATTAAAATAGAAATAGTTAAGAAATTAGAACTTTAAAATATTTTTTTCATTATCTGTGTCTGGCATAACCCCCCCCCCCCCCCCCCCACAATCATATCATCCTTTCCGAAGGATGGGAAAGTCACCATGTGACGATAGGTAGCATTAACTTGTACTGAGAAGTAAATGTGGCCAGTGTAACAGCTACCACATCACCCATCTAGTACCAGTACTACTGCAACCACTACCACCACCACTATCACAACAACAACAAAAACTGACACTACAGTCTGTGTAGGTTGGTGTAGAAAAGAGGAGTTAGCGCCGCATGCTGTCGCCACGGACTATTTAGTTTAATTTTGCCCCAGACATAGAAAAAAAAAAACTTCATCACGTAACCAGTGATGGAACCCACAGTAAAAAGTACACTATACTGACGAATAGCGGAGAAAAATACCCCGCACCCGTCATCGCCGATTAGTTTTTGATCAAGAAGCGTCGCGGGGAGGCTAATTGGGACAAC